GGGAGGGGCATGGGCAGAGCTGGGGGGCAGGCCTAGGCTAGCAGGGCCTCTGAACCCCTGACCCCCGGTGTCTCATCCTGAGCTCCCAAAGGCTGGGCCCCTGGGAGGATTTGGATCTAGATGTTTATCTGCAGCCCCAGACAGGGTCCCGGCACCGCGGAACTGAGACAGAGAGGGCAGCAAGGCTGCGCCGGGCGCTGGGCCGGCCAGACACGTACCTATGGCCCAGGGCTGGTCCTGCCTGGGCCCCACTCGGCATGGGTCTTGGTACTGGCGGAAGATGTCATGGGTCTGCTCCAACTCGTCCCCTGGAAAGAGCCGGCAGAGTGAATGGGCCCATCTGCCCTCCCCCCTCCCCTCACCCACCACTCCCGCTGCCCCGCCCCTTCCCCCTCCCCTCCTTGTGTGATGAAGCGGGAAATTTCTATAATATTTGTATGATGCCGATGTGTGCCTCAGTTTCCTTCTATACTTTGCTGCTCCTGGAAGAGTGCAGGAGACACAGGTGTGTGTGTGTGTGTGTCACTCGCTGTTGGGATCAGTAATTAACTGCTTGGAGCAAACCCAGATCAACAGAGGGTCCAGGGAGACAAGAGAAGTCCCAGGACTGAACAGAGCAGGAAGCCTGCAGGTGGGACTTGGGACCTGAGCTGGGGGAGAGAGGGGCCAGGTGGCTGGGCTACGGGCCCCTTTGGAGGGACCGAGGCAGAGAGACAGGGAGCCCCAGGAACAGAGTCCATGACGCTGGGCTGGCTCCTGGCTCTGGCTGGCCCTTTGCCTCTCTGGGCTAGCCTGCGGGCATTCATTTCTGCAGCCAGGGGACTAGTCAAAGGCTGCCTGTGTGGCTGCAAATACCCCAGAGCCTCGTGCCCTGCAGGGCCCGGCACCCTCGTCCCGCAAGGGCTGGCGTGGCTGGGTTCGCTGCAGGGAGCCCCGGAGCAAGCCAGGATCGCTGGGGCCCGACGAGGGTGCGGCACTCCCCAGGGACGGGTTCCAGGCTGGGCACGCCATGACACCCTCCCCTGCCCCCACCTGAGGAGCAGTTGTCGAAGTTGAAGTCCCCGCAGAACACGTCGAAGGCGACGACGTCCCCGTGCTGCGTGTGGGAGTCTTGGAACTGCTGCACCCAGATGAGCCCCTGAGTGAGCTGGTCGCAGCGGATCTGTGCATCAGCTGGGGGGGGGGGAAGAACAGGGCTTGATTACAGGGGGCCCAACTTCCTCGTGTGTGAAAACCGGACACTGCCCCTGCTCCACCTCTTTCCCTCAAGGCCCCAGCCCCCCCCCCCATCACTCACTGCTCTCTCCACCACCCTCCCCCTGCCAGCTGAGCAGGGC